GTAGCTTAAATTTGCCAAGGCTGAGAAACACCGCCTTAGACCTTGTCTAACTCTGTGAAAATTAAGCTAATTATCTGCTGATGTTGTTTTTGGATTCCTTTTTTTTTCTACTGGAGTCAAACAGCTCCTTGCAGTGTTGATGGTTAGGAGAGACTGAATCCACAGCTGTGGGCTTCCAGGCCTCCTCTTCCTTTCTAAATCCAGCAAGTGCAGGTGCTTAGGCTGCACTTAAGACCTCTTTAAAGTCTTTTCAAACCAAGCAAAAAGCAGCCATGGCTTTAAAAGAAGGCAGCTGAAAATAAAAAGATCACCCACTGCCCTCTAGTGGCGAACCACCATTCCAAAAACTATTAAAAATGAGCGATCAGAGATTAGGGATATTCCATAAAACGGCTATATATGGGGGAGGTTTATAGCTGGGATACCCAATAAAGGTGTGTAGTATTGGGATACAAAGTGGGCAAAAGGGCTTGAGAACCAGCACAGGCATCCTTATGATACTTGTTAGGGTGGTACATTTTTCTGGCCTTGCTCTTGGAGGGCCTGTTGTAATGGCATGTGGGAATGACCTTGGGAGACAGCGGGAAGAGCCACAGGCAGGTAAACGGTTGGATGAGAGGCAGCTGAGCCCGCAGAAGGAACGGGGACGTGGCAAATGTCTCAGAAGGGATCCTCCCTAGTTTTTTGGACTGTAAAAGTGAGGGGGGAGAGGTGCATTTTCAAACTTGCAAGATTCTGTTAATGTAACTTTACAATAAAGTAGAATTAGTTTTCTTGGCGTGTTTCCTGTCTGGACTACCTTGTAAGGCTGACACCAATCTTGCAAGTCTGAAAGTACACTTTCCCCGTCACCTTTACAGACCAAGAAACCAGGGAGGGTCCCTTCTGAGACGTTTGCCACGTCCCCACTCCTTCCGCGGGCTCAGCTGCCAGTTATCTGACCGTTTTCCTGCCTGTGGCTCTTCCCAGTGTCCCCCAAGGTCATTCCCACCTACCATTACACCTGGTCCCTGCCCTCGCCGCCCCAGTGGGCATCAATCACCACCAACCACTCAACCCTCTGAGCCCCAGGACAGCCAACCTGCCTTCCTCACCTCTGCTGTTCTGGAGTAATTTCAAAGAGGCGCATTTCTCGTCTCTGCTTGGCGGATAACCCTTTCCTCTTCTTGTTCCTCTGCCGGGTCCTCCTCCGGTGGGGGTGCTCAAGGACAACTGCTTTCCGGTTTAAGTGTTTCTCAATGTCCTCCTCACTCTTTTGGGGCATGGTGCGCTTCAGAAAGGCCTTTACAAAGGCCTCGGCCTTCTTGGATCCTTGCGGCTGAAAAAGGGAAAAGAAGTAAGTTCCTAGAGGCAAAACAAAGTCTCATTTTGAGGTTAGTTATTCCCCACACAATCTTTCTACCATGGAAAGATTTATATATTAGATTTGTTAAGGCCGCTAACTCCAAGAAGACTCTGGGCTCCATATTATAGGTCTAATACATATATTAAAAGCACATTAATAACCCTCCCCAACATGTAAAACTCAGCAAAAACTCAGCAGGGGCTCCACAGCCACCCTAACCCCAGGATAGAACAGAGATTACGCACAATTGTCCTGCACCACTGCGCTTGTTTGAGTGGGATGAGGGCAGATGAACCGTTTATTTATTATTTGCTTAGTAAAATATATATGCTGCTTCACTTTGGTGGTTCCGGGTAACTGACAAAAATATAAATGTAATCTACTCGTTAGTAGAAAATGTAAACTCCAACCCAAGGCCTTGGTGAAAAATAGATTTTGAGCCTTCTCCTAAATTCTAATGCTCTTAAAATTTCACAGCAAATTTGTTCCATACTATAAGCCAGTGTCTCTCAACCTTGCAACTCTAAGGTGTGTGGACTTCAACTCCCAGAATTTCCCAGCCAGGGGATTAGGGGTAAGGGGGCTACCACAAAAGAGTACTGAGGACCACAGTGGCCTAATGGTGCCTACTTGCATTCTGGGGTTTAAAGGGCTCTCTAAAGTCCCAGAAAATTTGGAAGGCTTATTTCTGAGTAGATGTGTTACTGATTCACTTTATTCTCATAATGACCACCGCAATTCATCTCCCACTCTCCCCGAGAAGCACATACCAAAGACATGCTTCTAATCATTTATTTCAGAGCCCAGAATCATGTACGTGAGATGAGCGGAAGGAAGGAAGGAAGGAAGGAAGGAAGGAAGGAAGGAAGGAAGGAAGGAAGGAAGGAATAAAAATACCTGAAGGCTCAAGAGTTTTGCTGTTGGCTCAGGCAGTTGTTTATATAACACCTCTGAAAAATAAAATATAGTTTTCATTAAGCTATATGCTGTTTCAGGATATAGCATCTCTCTTCATGTCATGTTTGAAATTATTAAACAACAGAGACCTGAGCTGTATTGCTATAAAGACAGAACCATTTAGGAACTTGAGATTTTTGCTCTTTTATGTCTATGACATCCAGCAAGACACCCCAGGTTGTATTTTATGCTGAACTTTTAAAGATGATGCGTGCATGCAAAAGCCAGCTCACAGTGCATATTTTGTGACAGGCCTAAGTTGCCTGTTTTTGTACTTGTGTTCCTGCCACACATGCATTTTCGTTTCATGCAACATGAAACAACAAATATTTAACACAAAAGGGCAATCTTCATAGTTTGAGTTAAACAGTTCCAGAAAAAGGAATTAGAAACTCAATTGTGGCAAAAAGCAAAAAGAAGCTCAATTGAGAAAATGACTACTGTACTGTACTGCTAATATCCTACTGCTTTCTCTCTCTTTACACTCAATACTCCTCCAGCACTCAGTGGATGAGGCTTTTATCCACAGCCTTGTCATTCCATACAAAAGCCTCTGGGCTTAAATCTACCCCCTTCTTTGGATGACTCCAAACAAACTGAATGTAAATCTCTTCTGAATTCAAATTCTGGTTCTTGGTCACTCTCAAGCAGGAAGGCATGACATTGGGAGAGCAGGACAAGTTGTCTGAAGACAGACACAGCTCTCTAAATGTCTCAGTTACAATAAACCTGAGGAATAACACATACCAGCAAGGGATGCAACACAAAGTTGCAGCGCGAAGTGCTCCTGTTCAGGATTGCAACCAACTGCAACCCCCTCTACAAGCCAAGCTGGATTCCTCCTTATATGTCCATGGCCTTGTAGTCTGGTTGGTAACAAGCAGTGCAAAACTACTATGCAAAAGTGGTTTGCCACTACTTTCTTCTGAGGTTAGCCTACAGCCCTAGGATTTCCAGGTGGTGACCCATCCCTGTGCTTACATATCTGATACTCCAGGCCCAGGCAGTGCTCTCTTCCAGACAAAACAGATGTCTGGATTCACTAATCCTAGTTCTCCCCTAATTTCCCCTCCCACTTAATTAGCCCCTGGAGAGAATCTGGTTCTCAAAAGTTACATTCACAAAGTCAATAAATGTGGATTTTTCTCCTTAACTAGGAGGGAAAAAAAAGAGAAATTGTCCTTCTGGATCTACCCGTAAAACGGCAGGGTATGAGCCCCGTGCGAGTAGCAGCAAAAATATCACTCCACTTCACTTCCCCAATGGCGCTTCCTAAATCCAAACCAGAGTCACTTCGGATTAAGTGCTACCTTCTCCCTCTGCGCACAAAGGCAGAGGGGAAGAGGCCACGAATTCAGGCGCTCGAAAGACTTACTCTCCGTCTCCATCTTCGGCAAAATTATCCGAAAACGCTGAAAAGGGCACCAACCGCGGCCAAACAGCACCCTCTCCCGTCTCCTTCACGAAAGGAATGAAACGCGCATGCGTCGCCGCCGCTCTCGGATAGGCTTAGAGGGAGAGAGGCGGAGCCAAAAACCGCCAATAAAAGCAAAGTGCAGACCTAGTGAATCAGAGGTAGAAAGCGGGAGGGCTGGGGTGGTTTACGCATGCGCGTTTATATCTTTAGAAGCCCTGCTCGTTTTTCGTTGCAGAGTTGGCGTTGCGCCCTATCATACGAATGAGTTGGATTCCGCGCAGAAGTCTCTCTCCCCTTTCTGCGTAGAAATCCAGGGAAAGTCGCGAGCGCTGCATGTTTGAAACGACTCAGTGGTTCATTTGCAACCCTTTGGGCTTGTATGTGTAAATGGCCTGTCGGGTAAATAGTAATGCCTGGCTAAGAAAAAAGGGGGCTTTGCTTGGAATGATTCTGGGGCTGGCCAAGAACACGTTGATCTCGATCCACACCCAACCTGAACTCCTAGACCAGTGTTTCTCAACCTTGGCAACTTTCAGACCTGTGGACTTCAACTCCCAGAATTCCCCAG